CTTTAGGTATTATTAATAATTTTGATGAGGATGACCTCATAAGACAAAAGTAGCATTAATTCATGTATAAATAATGGGACATCTGATCCTAGGCCAAGGACTCCAAACTTCTATTTTAACTTAGGAAATAAGTCTCTAAAACTTCATAAAAACATCTTATTGTGACTTCTTTTTATAAAAGTACTAAAGGCCCAGTGCACAAATTCATGCACCTTGAAAGGAACTGTGGGTTGCGAGGCTGTGGTGGACATGGGCAGGTCTAGGCCCATCCTCCCCACCCCCACCAGGCACCTCCCATCATGGCCCCCATCCCCTGTTGGCCAGCAGCCCCGCTCCCGTCACCGCTCCCACGTGCTGATGGTGCAAAGCAATTGGGGCCAGCACCCTCAGCGGGTGCGAGTGGCAGTTGCTGCCCCGATCACCCCTGAGGGCTTCTCCACCACTGACAGCACCAAGCGATCGGCACCGGTGCAGCAACGGGTGTGAGCAGGGCCAGCGCAGTTGGCTGGACTTGTTAAGAAGGGAGATTAAATGTTTGACACACTGGGGCGCCAATGGAAGACCTATATCTCAGCTGCATTCATATTAGCAAGAAACCCTAATCTTGATCTGAACTAGTTCTGCAGAATAAGAAAATTTTAAACCATCAGCCCCCTCCATGGTGTGGGGTTTTCTTGTAAAGAGTTCATCTACTATAACAAGTCCACAAAGCTGTACTTCCTCTGGCATTCAGCTTTAAAGTTCCCAGTGCTTTTTAATCTTTGCTTGAAATGAACTGTAGTTTGGCCCTGGACAAAGGCTTCCCATGAGACGGCTTGTTTCTCAGTGGGAGGAGAGGATATTTACCAAAGTCTTCTCAGGTCCAATCATGTTTCTGATGAGTTGGCATCTGCGGATGTCATCCTGAATATGGGCACCAAACTTTCACCTTAAACCTGTAAGATCAATTCGGTTTGATAGTTCACGTCCCCTGACTTAGGAAAGATAGCCGGATTTCCTGCGGAAGTGACCATCTCTGTCAATAATTCACAGATCACATTCTCTAGTAACTTCTTGCTCTTTCCTCATCAATCTTCAGACAAATCACTTGGAAAGAAAAACACACAAAAACACCTGTTTTTCCAAGTAAAGAACGGTATCTCTTTACTCACCATCAGGTCAATGACCGTCAATTACCTGCTGACCTAAAGTGGGAAGGAACTTGAGAGAGTAGTTAGATCTTTACTAACACTAACTGGGTGTTTGCTGCGCCATGAAAAAGAATTAAGAACGCAAACGCCACAGACTTGAAGAGGAGAGGAGGGGCCTGGGAAGGAGTGCTGAGTAAGCCATCCTGTTAGCTCCCAAATGAAGAGAACTCGTGATAAAACAACCTTCTCTACATGGTCCTTCATAAGAGGGCTTCCTCCTCCATCAACTCAGTGAGAGGCGGACCCCGCGGTGCAGGGGTCTGAGATGTGGGGGTTGAAGTGATTTGGTCACATAATCACTTGCAGCAGCAGAGGTCTCCTTGACATCACAGCTGGCCACGTTAGGAGCTTCCTTCATCTGTTTGGACACTCATCTTGAGACCTGGGCCCCACGCTGTTCCCCATGACTCTGCCGAAGCTGTTGTCTCGCTTGGCCAGGGGAGGCATGGTCGGCCGGAGTGTGACACTGCCACGCGGGAGAGGTGCCACCACCACGGTGAGGCCGGCATCCTCTCCCGGGCTCTCCAGGCTCTCTGCCCTGCACACTCAATATCCAGGCTGCTGCTCCAGAAGAACCTCTGCTTTCCACGACGCCTACCCGCTGTGCCAACAAACCCCCGTGCAGAACGACACACACACGCAGGCATCTGCTGCCATTCTCTCCCCTCCGCTCGGCACTAGACACATTTCCATCCCAGGTGGGAGCGTCAGCTTCTGGATGCAGCTTCTGGGGTGGGGGCCTCTGCAAGCTCTCCTCAGCCCTCCCTGGCTCACCAGCTACGACTGCTCCAGACTCCCCTGGTTACGTGCAGAGAGGGAATGGGGCAGCGTTTGCTGAGCACCTGCTAGGAATCCTGACTGTGCTGGTCTTTTTCAGATACAGCAACTCTGAGGGAACCATGAGTTAATATTATTCCTGCCCTCGCCAGTTTGTCTCAGTGGATAGAGCGTCGGCCTGCGGACTGAAGGGTCAAGGGCATGTACCTTGGTTGTGGCACATCCCCAGTAGGGGGTATGCAGAAGGCAGCTGATCGATATTCCTCTCTCATCGATGTTTCTAACTCTCTATCCCTCTCCCTTCCTCTCTGTAAAAAATAAATAAAATATATTTTAAAAATTAAAAAAAATATATTATTCCTTATTTACAGGCAGAGAGAACATGAGTTTCAGAGAAGTTGAGCAACTTGCCCATGATCACACAGCAAGTACTTGCAGGCGATGAGGGAAAAAGGTAAGATTTGATTCAGAATTCATCACATTTCTAAGCCTCTTCCCACTGTATCATGCTGCCTCCTTCAAGTTCTCACTCCCCCATCCTGTATTAAGCTGAGCAGTTCACAAGAATTCAGCCCTCTCAAACACACACATCACCCAGGGGTCTTGTTAAAAGGAAAATTCCGACCCAGCGGGTCTGGGGGGAGGCCTGGGAGTCTGCATTTCTGACCACCCAGGGGAGGCGGATGTACTTGTCCCACAGACCACACCCTGAGCAGCAAGCGGCGAGGCAGCCACACTGAGAGCCATGGAAAACCTTGTGACTTATCCCAGCAAACGAGCCTCCTTGAGCTGCACTGATGCTCACAGTGACTAGGTTAAGAGATGATGGTCTGTATTCTGCACTGTGTCAGTTTCCAGAGCCACTGACAGCCAGGTTATCCAGAGGAAGATCCTAGGCTACCAGGGCTCCACAACCACGCAGGAGGGAGACAGGAGAGAAAAGGAAAGGGTGATTCTGGAGGGGACACAGCCCAGGGGAAGAGAAGGGTTAGCTATCTCAGGAACCAGACGCCTGGGAACTCTGAAGATTTGGGACCAGCGACTGGAAGTTACATGGAAACAAAGAGCTCACGACACTGAAGCTCTTTCTAACACGCGAAGCCCTCCAACCACGCAAAAGCGCCTCAAAGTTACGCTCGCTGCTTCTGAAGGTTTTCAAGTAAAAGCTGAATCAGCGCTTTTTACCGATAGTGAAGCGTGGATTTCTCAGAATCTGCTTACACCGATGGGTGCTTGAAACCAGCGACCCCCCAAGTCTCTTTCAACTCTGATGTTCTAAGATTCCAATTAGGACTCATGTCTCATCTTTGAAAAAAGAGCCTGGCTTAGGCTGAAACATCTCTTAGGTGTCCCTGCACGCCAGACTGCTCCTGGGAGGACCCTGGCCTTCTTAGTGCCCTCTGATCCTGGCTCTTCTCCATTGCCGAGCCTCTTGTGCTGCCAAGTGGAAAGGTCAAGTTCATTACCACACAAGTAAGTTACCTGGTCCAGCCGCCCTTCAGTGCCTCGGTGCAGAGCTGCGGGGAGAAGAGCACGGCCACCACCAGACACTGAAAAGCTCTCGTAGTCTAACGAGCACCTCAGTCATTTCTGATCTGGTCCCACAAATGCTGTGGCTGCAGCAGGAGCCAGAAGGACAGCCGTGTGTTGTTTAAATTCAGAGCAGAAACAGCTTAGCCAACAGCGTAACTCTGTATTTGCAGGGTGACTTTTCTTCCTCGTGTCTATGGGAACCATTTCTTTCATTGTCACAACACTCCTGCAGGAGGAATGGAGCACTCATATCCCTCTTTTTAAAGCTCTAATATTCTGTAGCATCCACAGAACTAGTGGGTGTAAGAGTAAGAAACGGAATCTAGTCTCCCTCTCTTTCTCTCAGCTGTGGGTGAGTATAGTGTGAGGGGACAGAGTGGTAAGTCAGCCATACGATGATTGCATGCCATGTGCCAGGCACTGTGCTGCGAGCACTACACAACTTACAGCATTTTTCTGAATCCTCAAATCCCCCCGCCGTGAGGTAAAAGACTGCTTCCCCATCTCACAGTGAGGAGACTGAGGCTCAGCTAGATTGCATGTACCATTGCACACAGTTACGCTGCTGCCTCTGCTTGGGAATCAAATCCTAGGCTGCTGCCTTTCAGAACCCGAGGTGGGAGTCACTGGCCACAGAGTCCCAGCCTGTGTCCCTGTCCTCTGTCAGAGTCCCATGTGCCCAATGTGAATGGCGTTGTTTTTGCTCAAGTATAAGTACTTCCAGAATGAGGCCTTGGAGTCGTAAGGATTTAGAAAGGCTAACAAGAAAATATTAAAACCTTCCAGAATGCCTTTTCTTGTCAAGTATAGAAAATATCTTGAATTCACAACATAACACACTATTAAAGATGAAATAAAATGAATTTTCAGTTAGTCTAATACATGCAAAATGTTAAAGTACATGAAAACACCAGTCATAAACATTAAGTTGCTTACTATTATTGACTTACTTATAATATAATACATTTTTCATAAGTAATTTGAAGGTTAAAGTGAATTTGGGTCAGCATAATCATCCATTACTTCCTTTTGGTGTTTTATTGAAAAGGCTTTATTTTGTTATTTCAGATGAAAAATAAGTGAAGTAACAAATTGAATGGGAATTTCTCTCTATCCTTTGCTCAGCCTATAAAATACTTCATCTATGTGTAAATGAGAAAGAAATTTTCTGTAAGCTTACTGTGTTACAGGGAACGTAACCAAAATAATCAAATCATCAACTTATGCCCAAAGCAATTAATTTATTAGAAAAAATTGTTATAAGCTTGTTGGGTGTTACCATTGCTTCAATATTAAAATTCTCGGTTCATTTACTAGGATGATTGTTGAGGTGCTGTTTTACTACGAATCATATCCTGGGAGAAAGACCTTTGAAAGTATTTGAAACATGCTCTTAGGACATACATGGCCTCTGGGTGAAAAAGCTCTCAGATAATGTACTTATTCTCATTTGGAGCATCAGGGCTGAACCAACCATCCGGTGTTTCCTAGGGCTTTTGTTAATGGGATACGGAATCATTATAGTGCAGATATTCATACCCTACTGTTGCGAGAAGACAGAATCCTTCAGCCCTTGATGGTTGGTGCTCTTGCATTAATGCCATTTGAAGAGAGAGTGACTCAGAGAGAGGTGTACCATTATCTACATCAAACCTTCGTCTCACTGATGAGATGGTTGCTAGAAATCACTGACGGAAGCACAGCTCCGGTTTGTGTCACAAAGACAAGAGCATTTAACTAAAGCTAAGGATGATCTCATCGTACAGCTCTAAGAGACGCACAAGCAACACCGATATATTCACCTATAGCAGTGATTTTCAACCGTTTTCATCTCATGGCACACATAAACTAAATACTAAAATTATACGGCACACCAAAAAGTATACTATATGTTTTGCTGATCTGACCAAAAAGAAATAGGCAAAATGTTGATTCATTCATACTGTTGTGTTGGCTGTTGTCATTTTTTTATTTGACAGCCGAAGAGAAAAGAGGTCAGTGCCCCTGAATAGTCAGGTATTGCATGTTTTAAAAATTCTTGCAGCACACCAATGTGCCTGCCGTGGAACTCCAGCTGAAAATCGGTGGACGTTACTTGCTCAAACTGAGGCCACTGCAAGAAGTTAACTAAGTTTGATGCATTCGATAAAAATTTGGGTTGTGGTAGTCTGATTCCAGTGTGGAGAAAAAGTCCACTTCAGGTTTGAATGTCTGATGCAATAGCTGGGAAATTCATCTGGGAAAAAAATGGCCCTTGAAGGCAGCTTCTTGCTGACTAAACTCAGGGGTCCTCTGCTGTACTACATCACTCAGGACTCAACTCACGGACCTTCCCCCATGGGAAGGACAACCATGGCTTCTGAGCCTGAGTGCTCATGGGAAGCCTTAAGGCTGCTTTTGGTCTCTAAAAATTCCTTCTCTTTTCCTTTTCTTAAAAACAACTGTATTGGTCTATTTAATACATTTTTAAAAAAAGGTAATCCACCCTCCCCCCGACTCCATACACACACACACACACACAAGCACTCTCTTCCTGGTAATGAGGAAAGGCTATTTTCTTTCTCTTTTTTTGGATCATAAAAGAATGATTAGGTAAGTAATCTGATAAAGGATGCAGGAGAAATGTGATGAGCTCATGGGGTTTTTTTCATCTTTAATGTGAATACCCTGTAACACATTCCGTGAAACTACAGTGAGTCACCTGATTTATGTAGCAAGGCTGAAGTTAAAATGGATTCTGTCATGTTGTGGTCTGAAAAAGGCAGAAGCCAACAACATCACCACAAAAGAGCCACTTAGTAAAGTCGTAAGGAGATGGAAATCGACTTACCCCTGCCCGAGAAGTCTATCAGGACAGCCGGGTGGGGCGGGCTTGGAGGAGGGGCGAGACTGTGCAGGCCCTAAAGCGCTGAACTCAGCAACTAGCCCAGAAGAGCCTCGTGTCTGTGCTAGGAGCATGCAATGTGCACAGAGTCCCTCCACTATGAGCGAGTCAGCAGAGTTCTAAGTCTTGGCTGTTAACAGAGAGTGGTTACAATGGCTTGCCCCAGAACGTATTTTGTAACCTTGCTGAGTTTTATGCAACCCTTGGGGTCGCCCTCTATGGTCTGAAGCATGGAGAAAGCAGGTTCATAAAATGCTCAACTTAAATCCGAGACAAGTCACAGGGGAAGCTGGAAACACAGCTCACAAACGCATCAAGGTCAGTGGTCACTGCCTTGGGGCTTAATGAAGAGGACAGGGAATTATGCTGAGTTTCCTCCCTTCTGTCTGGCAAATTCTTGGTTACCCTTCAAGACTCATCTCAAAGCTCCACCACCACTCTGAAGCCATCTCTGACCCGCCTGGACAAGAAATCAACCCTCTCTCCAAGTGACTTTTTAAAAATAGCTCTTCTAAAAATACAGTTCTCACACTGCACTATGACTTCTTTTGTCACCCCGAGGAGCTTGTGCCTTTCTTCTCCTTAAATGTAGAACGGTTTCCTTTCTCTCTTTTTACTTTTATTTTTTAAATATATTTTTATTGATTTCAGAGAGGAAGGGAGAAGGAGAGATAGAAACACCAAGGAGGAGAGAGAATCATTGATTGGCTGCCTTCTGCACATCCCCCGCCCTGGGGATCGAACCCACAACCTGGGCATGTGCCTTGACCGAGAATTGAACGTGACCTCCTGGTTCATAGGTCAATGCTCAACCACTGAGCCACGCCGGCCAGGCTCCTTTCTCTCTTTTAAACATTCTTATCTCCAGCACCTAACAAAGTTCTTGATACACGTGAGCACCGAAAAGGAGTTTGTAGAAGGGCCGGCTGATGGCGTGATGGAATGCCATCTCTGTAGAAAGCTGGAACAGCGGCCACCTTGGTAGTATCCACTTACAGTTCAAGAAAGTTTCCCTTGGTGCTCTCTCTCTCTATCTCTCTTTCTCCCTCCCTTCTTCTCTCCCTCTCCTTTTATCTGCTCAACAATATTAAAATCTTTCAGTGGGACAAGACTTTGATTCTACAGCTAAGAGTGTTGATGGTGCAAATATCCACAGAGAATCATCACCACAGTTAGTGGCTAGTTGAGCAGCTGTCTGGATCTCAATTTCCTTATTCTGAAAACTGAGGGACTCAAGACCACCTCTGAGCTCTGGTCCAGCTCTGAGAGAAGGACAACTAACTCATGGCTTAATGTGCATCCTACACAATCTGCTCTTCCCAGATGGGAGCTCTGACATTGGGCAGGGCCAAAGGCCTTTTCTGCATGAAGAGCAATGAACTTGAAACCAACTCAGTGTGAAGTATTTTGAAAAATTAGTAGACTCACTGTGCACATCACAATAAGCCTTGCTATGTGAGTGCACATCAGTCCCTCTCATGTCCCTGAGTCACTCGCCTAGTTCAGGTCCTCAAAGCTCTGCAGAGAAATGGACTGAGATGCAAGGAGTGTCCCGTAGTCTGTCCATGAGTACAAGGGGGGGGGGGGCAAATTCTGCCACTTTTCATTTCTCCCAATGAAATGAAGAAAGCATGAAAGATTGTTTTTACTCACTTTGAGCAGCAAATACAGAGAGAAAAAAGGCCAAACTGGAATCTCAGTGAAATTTAAGCATTCTGGAACCTTATGAGAATGTTCAACTCACCAACTTCAGTGCCTCTTCCCAGAGTGACAGTAATTCCATGCCCCCTGAGTCCATCTTCCGCATCAGTCTCTAAGACGACATAGGCAGCCGAGTAGTCAGGGTCCATGTGCTGCAGGGAAAATGTCCCCCACCCACATGACACACACATGAGAAATCTGAAACCTGACCATGACATCACTAAGAGTAGAAAACACAACGGGCGATATGCTAGAAAAGCTCCAATCTGATGGAACCCTGGAGAGACCCCAAGGAAAACGCAGGCACTCTCGTTGGACAACAGTGATGTTCTCCTGAAGGAGTCAAGTAATCTTAACAAGTGCACTGTTAAGATTCCCATGCCAGTGTGCAGGTGTGTCTCCTTTGACGGTCAGCTCAATTTTAAACCCAGGAGTTTCACCCACAGCTATATTCACAATCAGCTTCAAACTGCATAAGCCAAGGTTTTAGAAATTCCCACATAAAATTGGATTTCTCTTCATTGCAACCATTGAGAGCAGGATGTTTTTAAAGTGGGTGTTTTTAAAGTCATGTACCATAATATAAGAAAAGAGACATAAAGATTTTAAAAGGCAGTAAGAACTTAATCTCAGAAGAAAGGACATTCTTTTAAATGTAATAACTTTGTTTAGATAGTACTTTTAAATGAGAGGCCTATTTTTATAAAATATTTCAGGTACACAAAGAGCACAGGTAATGAACATCAGTGTGCCCCCCACCCACTTAAGAAGCACAACGTTAACAGTGTGAACTGGAGTCCTTAGGAACCCATTCTCTTCCCCCACTCAGGTGACAAATCACCATTGTTGTCACGTGAATGTTTCTTTTCTTTTTTTAAATATATTTTTATTGATTTTCTACAGAGAGGAAGGGAGAAGGATAGAGTTAGAAGCATCGATGAAAGAGAAACATCGATCAGCTGCCTCCTGCACACCTCCCACTGGGGATGTGCCCGCAACCAAGGTACATGCCTCTGACCGGAATCGAACCCGGGACCCTTCAGTCCACAGGCTGACACTCTATCTACTGAACCAAACCAGCCAGGGCACATGAATGTTTCTTACTTCTCAGCATGTGTTCACACATTCATACCCATCCTACCTTGTTTTTCTAGTGTAGTCAACTCATCAGTGGACCAAGTGGGGGCAGTGAGGATCCAGTGGGTGACAGGCCTCAAAGAGACCGGGGCAGAACTCATGTATACGGGAACCATTGCACTTAGACGGTGGTGGTGGTGACGCTCCTCTATCACTTGGTAAGCAAAGCGCCCTTCAGTATTTAGGTAGGAGTCAACGTCGGTGCCTTTACTGCATCTCCCAAGATTGATATCTGCCTAACTCTTTACAGTGACAAGTCCTTTCTAACCACATTTTCAGTCCTTTCAGGAGAGCCCCCTCTCACATGACTCAGTTACTAGGAGCTTGTTTGTCTGGTTTCCCAGCCAGACTGTGACGCCCTCATTTCATAGAAGGGCCCAAGAGGTCCGGAGGGATTAGGGACTTCTCCAGGTCACACAGCAGGCTGCGGCATAGGCAGGATCGCCACCAAAACGGCTTCCTGGTCCCCAACACCAAGTTCTCAGGGCAGAAGCAGCCAGGGTTGTATGCTAGGGTTTAGTTGCTTATTACGTCTTTCTACCCTTTCCAGCAAGATGTGGCGTGTAAATGTAAAAACAGGAATATTCTACGCCAGCGAAAATGAAAGAAAAGAAAAAACCCGGGAGGGTGGAACGTTTCTGTTTGCTTTCGCTCCTTTTCCCAGCCGCCACTTTACAAAACTCTTGAAAAGTTGGGAGCCTCCCAGGACTGGCGGGACTCCCCGCGCCTAAGCCGGCCCTGGCGAGGGCAAGGCGGGAGGGCACCCGGAGGTCCGTCAGCGCTTAC